CTAAAAACTATTAAAACGCTTTCAAAAACAAAAAGAATGCAATGTTAGGATTAAATGAATGATTTTTTAGACTATTTTACAGTGTAATGTCACAGAAAAACAGATTTTAGTTTGAAAACCAGCTTCAAGATTTGAAAAACATGAAAATAATACAATTTTGATCAAAGTTCTTGGTTTATTTTTTGACGAAATTTTTAAACACTTGAAAAAGCCGATTTTTGGTCAAATTTTGAACTTTTCAATGAAATTTTGCTAAATAATTGCAAGAATAAGTGATTTCGGGCTTTTATGAAGGTAACGTTTAAGTCTAGCGGGCCGAAATTTTTATTTATTAAATTTTCAGTGACGTCGGGTTAGACAAAAGTTTTTTTCGGTCGATTTTTTCAGAGTAATGAACTGATTCAGGACCATTAATTTTGCGAGAAGCTTTTTGGGGGCAATTTTAGCTTTCAGGATAGATTGACACGTTTATTGTTATTTTTTCGGACTTTTAACCACCTGTTTGTCGAAAAATTAAATTTTTGCAACATTTTCAGTAACCACATGTAAACTCTACTGAAAATAAGTTGTCAAATATCGTGTCACGCAAACAAAGCTAAAATAATTTCAATTTTGATCTAATTTGGTATTTTTCATCGATTTTTAAATTTTTAATTTTAAAAATTAAAAAAACATTAAATTGAAAATTTTTTTTCAGTTTAATGAACTGATTCAGGACCAATAATTATGCGAGAAGCTTTTTGGGGGCAATTTCAGCTTTCAGGATAGATTGACACGTTTATTGTTATTTTTTTAACTTTCTTTCTTTCAACTTTCAACCACCTTTCAACCACCTGTTTGTCGAAAAATTAAATTTTTGCAACTTTTTCAGTAACCACTTGTAAGCTCTACTGAAAATAAGTTGTCAAATGTCGTGTCACGTAAATAAGCTAAAATAATTTCAATTTTAATCTAATTTGGTATTTTTTATCGATTTTTATGAAATTTCATTTTTGTATTTATTTATCAAAGTTGATTTTGTAATTTTTCAACTTGCGAAATAATTAATTTAATGAATTTTTGACTTGTTATGAAGGAAATTTTGTGAAAAAATTTGTTTTTGACTGAAAAACTATTAAAACGCTTTCAATAACAAAAATAATGCAATGTTCGGCTTAAATGGATGATTTTTTAGACTATTTTACAGTGTAATGTCATAAAAAACAAACAGAATTTAGTTTAAAAAACAGCTTCAAGATTTGAAAAACGTGAAAATAATACAATTTTGATCAAATGTCTTGGTTTATTTTTGGACGAAATTTTTAAACGCTTGAAAAAGCCAATTTTTGGTCAAATTTTGTATTTTTTAAAGAAATTTTGCTAAATAATTGCAAGAATGAGTGATTTCGGGCTTTTATGATGGTAACGTTTAGCTCTAGCGGGCCGTAATTTTTCTTTATTAAATTTTCAGTGAAGCCCGGGCTTCAGGGTTAGACAAAAAAAATTTTTCGGTCGATTTTTTCAGTTTAATGAACTGATTCAGGACCATCAATTATGCAGGAAGCTTTTTGTAGGCAATTTCAGCTTTCAGGATAGATTGACACTTTTATTGTTATTTTTTCGGACTTTTAACCACCTGTTTGTCGATAAATTAAATTTTTGCAACTTTTTCAGTAACCACTTGTAAACTCTGCTGAAAATAAGTTGTCAAATGTCGTGTCACGCAAACAAGCTAAAATAATTTCACTTTTGATCTAATTTGGTATTTTTTATCGATTTTTATGAAATTACATTTTTGCATTTATTTATGAAACTTTATTTCTTAATTTTTCAACTTGCGAAATAGTTAATTTAATGAATTATTGTTATGGTGAAAAAATCTGTTTTTGACTGAAAAACTACTGAAACACTTTTAAAAACACAAATAATGCATTGTTCGGCTTAAATGGATGATTTTTTAGACTATTTTACAGTGTAATGTCACAAAATAAAAACAGAATTTAGTTTAAAAAACAGCTTCAAGATTTGAAAAACGTGAAAATAATACAATTTTGATCAAATTTCTTGGTTTATTTTTTGACGAAATTTTTAAACGCTTGAAAAAACCAATTTTTGGTCAAATGTTATGTTTTTCAATCAAATTTTGCTAAATAATTGCAAGAATGAGTGATTTCGGGCTTGTATGATGGTAACGTTTAAGTCTAGCGGGCCGAAATTTTTCTTTATTAAATTTTCAGTGACGCCCGGGCTTCAGGGTTAGACAAAAGTTTTTTTTCGGTCGATTTTTTCAGTTTAATGAGCTGATTCAGGACCATTAATCCTGCAAGAAGCTTTTTGGGGCAATTTCAGTTTTCAGGATAGATTGACACTTTTATTGTTTAATTTTTCGGACTTTCAACCACCTGTTTGTCGAAAAATTAAATTTTTACAACTTTTTCAGTGACCACCTGTAAACTCCCAGGAACTTTACTGAAAATAAGTTGTTCTGTCGTGTCACGCAACACCTGATGTTCATTGCAGTGCCTGCAATTGGCCCTTTAAATCCATGAGGTTTAGGCCCAAAGAAACTTGGGTTTTAGCACACGTCATGTTTATGTAATTGTTTTCCACGTTTAAATAAATGAATTTGTTTGGGGGTTTTTATCTTCTGTTCTTTTGTTCAAACCCGGAGTTTTAATTACCGGAAAAAGACAGCGATTGCAGTGGTCAAACATTCGATACTCTACAAAACAAAATCCAACAGGTGTTTGTCGGCCCTTTATCAGTGCATGCTCATAAATCCGGACTGCTGATGAAGAGGTTCGACGATAAAAAATGTTAGCTTGTGTTTGTCAACCGGCCGATCCGGGGATTTTCCGGCGGTCTCCGGTACCATTAGGCGCGCCGCCGTTAAAAATAAGCACAGGGGCTGTTCCCAAGCCCGGAAGAAGTGTCCGATTAACGGCTCCGGTCATCACCGATCCGCCCGGACTCAAAACCAACGCAGAAATGAGGACGAAACACAACAAATGTAAAAAGGACGCGAGTGTGACGAGTGATAAGGATAAATGTAGTGAAAACGGTGACTGTGATAAGGAGAAAAAGAAATTGAACGATTTTGAGAAGGTATAGTTTGGTAGTTTAAACAAAAATGGGAATTGAACGAAGTTATCCCTTTCTTGTGCATAAAAACTTTAACGGTCAACTTTTTTTTTTGGTATTTTTACTTTTACCAACGAGTTAAATGTCTAGAAACAATGCAAGACAATTTTAATTTTCTTGACGAAACTTTGCTTAAAAATGATCAAAATGTTTAGAATCAGCCTAAAATATCATCTAATTTAGGAATTTCAAGTTCCTGAGTTTCTGGCTCAACGTTAAGCAAAACTGGTCAAAATAACACCAATTTTAATATATCAAAAATGAATTTTTGGTCATCTAGATCAAACTTTACAAAATAAATGAGTTTCTGGCTAAAAAACAAGCTAAATTTTTCGAAACAAAACTAATTAACGTTAAATTGAGTGCGTTTTTTAGTCAAAAAGTGAAGTAATCCTAAAAACATTAATTTCGATTAATATTGGGCTCAAATAAACACAATTTTGATTTTGTTTGACGAAACTTTGCCTTAAAACGATCTAAATTAACATCTAATTTAGTAATTTTAAGTTCATTTTTTATAAATATGATTAATTGACTGAGTTTCTGGCTTAAAGTTAAGCTAAACTGGTCAAAATAACACCAGTTTCAATCTATAATTTAATGAATTTTTGGTCATTTTGACCAAACTTTACAAAATAAGTGAGTTTCTGGCTGAACAACAAGCTACATTTTTCGAAACAAGACTAATTCACGTTGATTATGATTTAATTCAGAATTTTTTAAAGAAATTATCGAGAATCAAGTCAAATTCTTGGTCAAAAATGAGTTGAAATGGCATTAATTTGTATTTATATTGGTGATTTTCGACGAAATTTTACGAAAATCGACTAAAACGAACAAAATGGATTAAAAAAAATTGCTCTTTTTTGCCTTTTTTGACAAACTAAAATGGCATTTATTTGTATCTATATTGGTAATTTTTGTCAAAATTTTACAAAATATAAGAATTTTTCGCTCGAAAATCAACTAAAACTAAAACTAAATTTTGTCTTTTTGACAAATTTCGGGAGATATAAACAGTTTCTTGCTTCAAAAAGGAAAAATACCTACAATAACGCCAATGTTGTGATTTAATTAAAAAAAAAATTGTTTTGATATGAATAATTTGTATGGAGCTGCAATGTCTGAAAATATGTCATATGGATCCCGCTGGTTTATCTCTCCCGGATTTACTATATAATGTTAAAAAAATTATGTTCCGGGTTCTCTTTTTTATAGTGCTTGTAAAACATGGCAAGTGGCAACAATGAATGTCGAATTCATGATGAATTTTTACTCTGAGGAGAAAGCAATGAAATTCTATTATTGGAAAATTGAGCTTTTCGCCCCCGCTTAATTTTCATGAAATTTCTGAAAGTTTTTCTTTTTCAGTTACCGGACGGTGTGCAGTTGACATTAAGCGAACTGCGCGAGATGGCCTGCCGCCAGCAGGCGCAGATCGACTCGCAGCATCAGCTGTTGGCCGCAAAAGAACAAAGATTGAGGTACCTGAAGGAGCAGGAGGCGCGCCAGCAGCGAGTGCAAGCCGAGAGCGAGAGACTCCGGAGGCTGAGGGACCGCGTCGACGCCCAAGAACTCAAACTGAGGAAACTCCGGGCCCTCCGAGGACAAGTGGACCACCAAAAGCAAAACAATATATCTCTCAGTAAGTGATTTTATCGGATAAACCATTCATCATCTCTTCGTGTGTTGAAATAAATGGCGAAACAATGGTGATTTGTGATAATGCGAATTTATGGACCGACAGCTTTAAAGTTCACATTTAAAATGTTCGTTTTTACTTTTTACGCCCTAGCGAAGCGGCAACGCTACAAATTTGACGTTTTACATGACAAATTCGGGAATTTTCACCGAACTTTTCAACTTGCAACATTAATTTCAACTGAAGCTTTTAGATTATTACGAACTTAATTTCGCTTGGGTTTCATTTGAAAGAAAAGATTTTGTGACACATTTGTATCACTCCTAAATGCGATTAGGCGGCATTAAGAGACCGCCTCAGTATTTCTGTTATTCTTTAAATATTTTTTTCGAGTTTTTCTTTGGCCACCTTTTACATACTTAAACTGTAATTGACTCAAAAACCCAAAAAAACACATTAATTTTTGTTTTTGTGATTTTGAGGCTTGTTTTGATAAGATTTTGCAAAATAAATAGAACTCTGGTTCAAAAATGAATAAAACAAGCTAAAATAATTTCAATTTTGATCTATTGTGGTATTTTTTCCCGATTTTTTTATGAAATTTTGTGATTTTTAAACTATTTCAGTGCCTACCTTCAAAATTTAAAAAAACGTGAAAATAATACAACTTTGATCAAATTTTGTGGTTTAAAGCCAGTTTTTGGTCATATTTTGTGTTTTTCGTTTTATTTTCAATGAAATTTTGCCAGATAATTGCGTTTTAAATGTGCTAAAACACTCAAAAAAGGCAAAAATAATATAATTCTTGTAATTCTTGTCTTTACTTAGTGATTTTCCGGCTTGTTTTAACAAAATCTCACAAAAAAAACGGAAATTTTAGTATTAATATTGAGTGAAACAATCTAAATCACATGAATCTTTGTTTTTTGATTTTCAGGCTTGCTTTTGATTTTTTTTTGATATTGCAAAATAAATAGAACTCTGATTGAAAATTGAATAAAACAAGCTAAAATAATTTCAATTTTGATCTAATTTAGTTTTTTTTTATGAAATTACATTTTTGTATTTCTTTGTGAAACTTTATTTCATAATGTTTACATTTGCAAAATAAAGCTTTGTGAATTAATAATGGTGAAGCTTAAAACTGAAAAGGTTTTCTGGGATAGATTTATTAGTAAGATTCGTTAAACTTTATCGCGTTTTTTTTATAGTAAAATTACATTGTTGTATTTATTTGTGAAAGGTTTTTTCGTAATTTTTGAAATTGCGAAATAATTAATTTAATGAATTTTTGACTTGTTATGAAGGACATTTTGTGAAAAAATCTCTTTTTGACTGAAAAACTATTGCAACGTTTTCAAAAAGGCAAAAATAATACAATGATTGGCTTAAATGGATGATTTTTTTAGATTATTTTAGTGTAATCACAAAAAAACAGAATTTAGTTTAAAAACTAGCTCTAAGATTTGAAAAACGTGAAAATAATATGATTTTGATCGAGTTTTGTTTTTTATGTTTTAAACGTCTGAAAAAGTCAATTTTTATTGTATTTTTGTGTTTTTCGTCTTATTTTCAACGAAATTTTGCCAAATAATTGCGTTTCTTAACTCGAAAGAGGCAAAAATAATACAAATCTTGACTTTACTTAGTGATTTTTCGACTTGTTTTAACAAAATCTAACAAAAAAAAACGGAAATTTTAGTACACAAACGTGCTTTTGGCTAAATTTTCTTCAATAAAAAAAGCTGAATAAAACAAGCTAAAATAATTTCAATTTTGATCTAATTTGGTATTTTTTTCTCGATTTTTTTTATTGTAATTACGTTTTTGTATTTATTTGTGAAACTTTATTTCATAATGTTTACACTTGCAAAATAAAACTTTTTGAATCAATAATGGTGAAGCTTAAAACTGAAAAGTTTCTCTGGGATTGATTTATTAGTAAGATTTGTTAATCGCGTTTTTTTATAATAAAATTACATTGTTGTATTTATTTGTGAAAGGTTATTTCGTAATTTTTGAAGTTTAGAAATAATTAATTTAATGAATTTTTGACTTATGAAGGAAATTTTGTGAAAAAAACCTTTCACAATGGCAAAAATAATACAATGTTTGGCTTAAATGGATGATTTTTTAGACTATTTTTGTATAATCTCACCAAAAAAAACAAAATTTATTTCAAAAACTAGCTTCAAGTTTCGAGAAACGTGAAAATAATACAATTTTGACCAAATTTTGTGGTTTATTTTTTAACGAAATTTTTAAACGTCTGAAAAAGCCAATTTTTGTCTTAATTTTGTGTTTTTCGTCTTATTTTCAACGTAATTTTGCCAAATTATTGCGTTTTTTGACTTAAAAACGTACTAAAATACTCGAAAAAGGCAAAAATAATACAACTTTTGACTTTGCTTAGTGATTTTTTTGGCTCCCAAGAAACGGAGATTTTAGTACACAAACGTGCTTTTAGTTCAGGAATCAATAAAATTGAGTGAAACAATCAAGATCACATGAATTTTGTTTTATGATTTTGAGGCTTCTTTTGATAAGATTTTGCAAAATAAATAACTATAGTTCAAAAATGAATAAAACAAGCTAAAATAATTGCAATTTGGTGTTTTTTTAATCGATTTTTTAAATAAAATTACATTTTTGTATTTATTTATGAAAGGTTATTTCGTAATTTTTGAACTTGCGATATAATTAATTTAATAAATTTTTAACTTGTTATGAAGGAAATTTTGTGAAAAAAGTCCGTTTTGACTGAAACACTATTAAAACGCTTTCAAAAAGGCAAAAATAATACAATATTTGGCTTAAATGGATGATTTTTCTAGACTATTTTAGTGTAATCTTACAAAAAAACAGAATTTAATTCAAAAAACTAGCTTCAAGATTTATTATTTGAACGCCTGAAAACGCCAATTTTTGGTTTAATTTTGTGTTCTTCGTCTTATTTTCAACGTATTTGACGTTTTACATGCCAAATTCGGAAATTTCTATCAAACTTTTCAACTCACAACACATTAATTTCAACTGAAGCTTTTAGATTATTACGAATTTCGCTCGGGTTTCATTTGAAAGAAAAAAAATGTGACCGCTGCATCGTCTTGCAGACACATTTGTCTCACTCCTAAATTCTGTTATTCTTTAAATCATTTTTTTAGAGTTTTTCATTGACTACCTCTCAACTGTAATTGACCCAAAAACGCAAGATAATAATAAAATAAAACAAACGTAAAATCACGATTTGTGCAAATGTTTAAACATGATTGCAGACATTAAATAAACTTCACGTTTCCCAACATTTCAATTATTTTTGTTGAAAAAAATGTAATCAACATGCAGCTATTTGCGATTTTCTTTTTCGAAGCGGTTTCCTGGCAATTAAATTTGATTGCAAGTGTTTCAATGCTGCTGTCACGACCAAAATCCATTTTTAATGAAGAAATTAACTTCGATTGTGAACAATCAAATATTCAGTATAAGATTACAGATAAAACCGAAATTTAATTAAATGAAGAGCGGCTTGTTGAATTTAACTCGAACTTTGTCGGGATCGAGGAGTCGCAATAATTAATTACTTAGGGGCGAGGCCTACATTGGTAATATTTGTACCAGTGTGGTGCAGTCGGTAGGAAGCATAAAAATTTGTCCAATAATGACGGAGATGAGTAAAATACGGTCCGCCGACTTGGAAAGTAACTAAACGACAAGAAAATAAATTGCAAGTCGTCTAAGACGGATTATTGGAGCGAATGTTGTGCCAAGAGATAGTTCATCGAAAATGAACAACTCCTAAACACCGAGTGTTTGGTTTTTCTTACTTTTGGAATTAATTTACAATTTATTTTACAAGATTTTGAAACAAAAAATTGCAACAACAAATTTTGAATTAACTTTTTTCGAAAAAAACAACAAAAACTGGCTCCAAATTAACTGTTTTGGCTTATTTTATTTGATTTAGCTCAAAAATTTTGCAAAAAATTTTTTCTTTGTAAAGTTTAGCTCACTTTTGCTTTTATTAAAA